ATTGTTAATTTTCTTCTGATTTCCTGGCTGCAGTCCCCATCTCTATCAATGTTTGATCCCAGATATGGGAATTCTTTTACTATTTCTCATCATCATCTTTATATGCTCATCATCATCTTTATATACTGCCTTTCTCCCAGGCTGGGACCCAAGGCAGTTTCCATAACAACAAATTAAAAATGTTTACAGAAAGTTTTAAACCATTTTTAAAACACCACATTAAAACACTATAAAGCTGATTTAAAAAATCATACATGAGACAAAACATACATCTATATTAGAAACCTTCCCTGTTTAAAAGCTTGCTTAAATAAAAATGTTTTTGCTTGCTAGTGAAAGGAAAGTAGGGAGGGTGCCAGCCTAGCCTCCCATGGAAGGAAGTTCTACATTATGTTTCCTTTCATAATGTGATTGCCACAAGACGTGTGTGATAATGTTTTTAGAACACACATTTATATTGTGTTGCTAATGGATAGTTACCTGTTTGGATTCTCTATTTGCATGTTATGTGCTCCGAGCATTCAGAGATGAGATGTAAATTATAAAAGACATTTCAGTTAAGTTTTAGATAAGCTTATGCTTGATATTATCCCACATGTATGTTTGTGTGTGTGTGTTTGTGTTTGTGAAGAATTGTAGTGGAAGTAGAATAGGCCTCTTCAGTCGGTTGGACCACAAAGAAATAAATTACAGTAGTCCCCTTCAAATGGATGGTGTGACTGTGATGCATTGTCATGACATGGTTGGGGGTGTTCCCAATATCTAACTAGGATTAGCAGCTCCATTTCCAACTAGGATATTGAGTGCAGTGTATGTAATGACAAAGCAATTGTATACAAGGACAGATCCATTTGGGCAAGGAGAAGGACCAAACAGAGCAGTGTATGATCCTTTAGCCTGATTCTTAATATTTTTGCACCAACAAATCATTGTCAACAGGATACTGAGAAAGGAAATTGAGATGTTTCAGTACTTCTAATCTCCATAAAACAACAACAAAACAAAATAAATTACAAAACCAATGTTGGTAGCTGGCATAATAAAATTATAAGGCTTTAATTATAATAAGTGGGCCTGCCTTATCAACAGGCTAGCCATCCACAGATTGGATTGCCCTGCCCCATAATAGTGGTGACACCCACCCATGGGCATGCTGACACGGGTGCATGTATGTTGCTACTCATTGACTAATATGAGCTTGAGCTCCAGCATTTTTTTCCCATTGGGGAGTGGGGCGGCGTAAGCAAGCCCCCATCGATGGGAAGGGTCCACTGTATATAGTTATGACATGCATAATTTTAAAAAGAAAAATAACATGACAGACACATACAGGTATTCGTTGTGTAAATCCAGATTTTATGCCTGAAGTTATCTCCTTTCATAACATTTGGTTGCCAGTGGCACTAGTTCCTAGGAAGTTCTATTTGATTTACAACATCAATGCATTTCTAAGGAATTTAGCTGGCAATCTAGACTACATGTACATTGTATGATAAGCCCTGTTTTCCTGGGTGCCTATTACGTGACCTGCCCCTGCTTTTGACAAACTGGAGTAAATATAATTTAAGCAACTCTCCAAGCGTATTTAAACAAAAGCTCTTTATTTTGACTGAACAGGATTAAAGTTAAGTATGCCTCTTAAAAGTTAAAAAATGGAAATCATCATAAAAGCTGCATTAAAATAAAAATGTGTGCCAATTCTACCATGAGTTTCTCTTGCAAACCTCTCTGCAAGAGATTTAGTTTGGGACATGCTGGAACAGATAAATTCTAAACAAGATGTTCCATTTTCTGGCATTTCCCTTTTGAAAAATAAAATTGGAGGAATGGTGCAAAAATGGACAAAATTAGAGGCCCGGATGGACAAGAATGCCAGAAATGTTGAAAGCTTTGTGCAGAAATAATAAAATTCATTGCGTTAGTGTGGGCGAATTCTGAAGCTAGTCAAAGGGAGCTCTGGAATGCCTGTAAAATTAGTGGAACCCATGTTAAAGTAATTCACATCCTAGAAGCAGGATACATGAATTCAATTTGTGAATAAGGCCACAGCTCTGAGATTGAACTGCATGCTTCCAGTGAATATATTTAACATATCTTAACAAAAACAGCACACAGAAATTAAAATGGTTGAACTCCCTCCCTAGAGAGCCCAGGATGGCCCCATCCCTGCTCTCCTTTCGAGGACAGACAGGTAAAAACATTCTTGTGCCATCAGGCTTCTCCAAACTGACTAGGGTTGGGCTTTTAAATTCTGTGTAATTCAGATTTTGTATAGAGTTTTAAATATGTTTTAAATTTTAATATGTAATGTTTTTAACTTTTTAAAATTGTTTTTTTAAACTTTGTGTCTACATTTTAATGGTTTTGTATTGTATTTAACTTGTACTGTATTGTTAGCCTATATTAGGAGAAAGGTGGGATAATAATAATAACAATAACAACAATAACAATAACAACTTCCTGCTAGAGAAAGGAATAGTTTAGCAACTTTCTTCCTTATACCTTCCAGGTAATTTATAGTGAGTGATTGGAGGATTGCAAAGTCAGAGCTTTATATTTGTTCAGAAAATATGTACAGATACATTAATTATTCTGTTGGCCCAGCGTCTTTCTGAGGCAAGACAGATGATTCCCATTAAAGAGGCAAAGTTGTGACCTTCCCTCCCAGTGACCACAAATGTTCCAAGGAGCAAATAACCCAGCATCCGTAAGAAATGGACTGCGTTCCTGTTATTGTCACTGTTTCCTGTTAAAATTTATCTAGGAAAGAACCACTTTCTAGAAACTAAAAAAGTAGTAGAAAACTTTTAAGCTTGCATATTGTTAATTGCTGCATAACAGCAAGAGCCAAGGAAAGAGAGAGAAGTTTCATAAATGCTGTCTGTTTTCCAAGAACCCTTGATTATTCAGTGGGAAGCAGCACATTGCAAGTTTGTAGTGCTGAAAAACAAACTTGAACTAGTTAGCCCCAAAGAATTCTGAATTCCCAAAGGCAGGATTGGAAAAATTGAAGGGAAGGGAATCTCGGGGCCTCATTCTATTACTCCTTTATCAAGATGATACATTTATCTGCTTTCAAAATGATCCGTCCTATGTGGGAAAACAGTCTACAGATATCACTTGAGAATCATTACCTCTTCCGAAGTACATTGTTATTTAAAGGTTTTGCATTCTGCCAAGTGCCAGAAGAAAGAGGCTAGTGGAAAGCTCCCACCCTTCTTCCACTGAAGGTCAGAGGAACTTCTTGAATGGATTGAGCTCTGATGCAAGGGGATAAGGAGGAAAGGGAAATGGTGGAAAATCAGATCAACACACATTCTGTGTGTAGAACTAACTCCTTCAACATCTTCAAGACCTGGTGCTATGCCTTTGTTTAAGGTTTCCAATTTTCCAGGGCAAATCTAAAGGGTCAGGAATTAAAAAGATATAATTCTGAGATAAATATCAGTTATTCTATAAGTTAATGTAAAAAAAAAAGTACTTTTGTAGCCATGCACTAGCACCCATATTCTAGTGACCATTATCTATAATACAGTACTTATTAAACAGCAAAACCTCCTTGCTTCTATGTAATTAACTCCTCTTTCTGCTGACTATGTGCTGGATATTATTGCTGTATTTACAACTTGTCTTGTTCTGATTTTTAATTGCCTGTACAGTATGTCAGGCACTACTAATCACAGAAGTAATAGTAGAACTTGAGCGCAATCCATGAAAAGTTAACTGTGATGAAATCCATGGAATGGGGTTTAGCTATTTCTAAATTTTACTGAATGTAAAATAAGGGTTGCACAGCTAGGTACATGTCTCTCAGCCAGTACAGAAAGTTATAAAATTGAAAAAGTCTTACTTTTGGTAACAGCTAAGATATTTGTGGAAGATTTTGTGTTCAGATGTTACCCCCACATATTATTCAATGTACACTTGTCCCTCTGCATTTGCAGATTTGATTAATCATGTACTTTATTAATATGTTCTCTCTAGGAATATCTAGGTCCTGTAGCACAACTCTTATGGTCAACTTTAACTAAAAGTCACACTGAAGGACCTAGAGATTCTAGAGAGAACAGTCCACTAGGCATTTGTAGCTCTTCCAGCACAATTCTATGGTCAATGTCTGGCAGATGTTGACCACAGGATTGCACTGGAGGACCTAGACATTCCTAGAGAAGTGTTCTGTCAGGTAAAAACATAGTATTATTGTTATTTGCGGTTTTTCCACATTCACGGGGATCCTGTGCCCCCTAGCCCCAGCGAATGTGGAGGGATGAGTGTACTATAAATTAATTATAATTGAAGTGTTGTTTAAAACATGCCCAAAACATTATGTTCAATGGCTGAAATCTTGTATGGGACATATGTATGCATAAGCCCTCTAATTATGGAGCTACACAATGAATTCTGGCCCAAACTCCTCATCCCCAAAGCAGCCACTGCAATTGAAGTACCCGACTGCCAGTTCCTCCCATTTCCATGAGCAATCTCTGGTGTGCCATGCAGAAGAAAGACACCTGTTGCAATTCATCTCACACTGTGAGGGGCTAGGAATGTCAGCTAGGTGCTTACTGGTCAAGGAGAGAATAGACCTCTGTTGATCTCAGCAGCTGTTGGCTGGGAAATAGGGACTAGATATTTTCACAGTCCCTACATAGACTCTATACTAGTGAATACTTAACAGTCATGAATACATAACAGCCCACAGCTGTATAACTCTGAATTACGCATTTGAACTATGATAGAGGTTTCAAGCCACCATCTTTGTCTCCACCCCTCACTGTTAAGCGCTTGTGATAATTGAGGTGAGAAGTCGGAAAGTAGTGTGAAACTGATTGTTGTTTTTGTAGTCATCGTTGTGTGCAAGTAGTTTCTGATGTATGGCGATACTAAAGTGAACCTGTCTGGGGGGGTTTCTTGGCAAGATTTCTTCAGACGGGTTCTTGCTGTTGCCTTCCTCTGAGGCTGAAAATGTGACTTGACCAAGGTCATCCAGTGAGTTTCCCTGGCCAAGTGGGGATTTGAACCCCATTCCCCAGAGTCCTAGACCAACGTTCAAACCATTCCACTACTCTGGCTAACCATATAATACATGTTTATCTCACCTTTTTAATATATTTATTTCCAGAGTTGCTTAGAATATGTACAAATATACATTATATATTTTTCATTCCAAAATTGTATAAAACATTTCAAGCACAATTACACACCATGGTTATAGGGCCTCAAAGTGCCATACAAATTAAATTAAGGGGGGAAGCAGATGGCGCAAAGTGCCATCTTCAGGGCAAGGAAGGGAAGGGGCAGCCACACGCTGGGCGCCCCAACCCCTTCCCGAAGACGTCGTCGGAGCAGCCAGCCCTCCGCACGGCTGGCGCTCTGACGATGCCTTTCAGCTGCAGTGTCCGCACACGCTGCAGCGGAAAAGCTGCTGAAGGTGTGCCGGCAGCCTTTTGCAGCGCACCTTCAGCGATTTGTGGAAGGAGCGCTATTTTAGCGCTCCTTCCTGAGGTGGCGAAGCTGCGCCGCAGGCCGAGGAATGCAGATGCCTCGACCCTGATCCGCAGCTTCCCAGGGCAGCCCCATGCCGCCCGTCTGCTTAGCCCCTAAAAAAACCATTTTAGCATATTATACTCATTGATCCTTTTGAAATGAGGAGGTAAATAATTTTTGGAAATTGTTGCTAATTAGTATTTCTATATTTTGTTAGGGCACATATCGTGTTGCTTTCAAGAAATCTTACATTGGAATATCTTTTTAAAAATGAGTTTCTATAAAACATCCAACTAGAAGACCTATCAAAAGGCATTTAATGGTGGTAGCTAATATACAGAAACAAGAACAGCAGACTCCTATAAACATAGAGATCATGACAATTTAAGCATTGCTTACCTTTACTTTTTAGTTACAGACCTCTACAGTCTAAGAAATTAAATAATTTAACTTTAATTTTCTTTTTATTTTTCTAGAATGTTCAGCACAGAAAATATGCCAGATGGAAAGCAGCTTATATTCACAATTGTCTAAAGAATGGAGAGACTCCACAGTCTGGACCTATTGGATTGGAAGGAGAATTCTGTAATCCTTTTGTTTCATATATTGCATATAGATCCAATTCATTTGGGTTAGACCCAGAAGCAAAATAACTGAAAATCTCTCCATCCATTCCCCCCCCCCCGCCCCCACACACATTGCAACCACTCTAGCAGGGACCTCTGCTGATCTCAGTCTCTTCTGCAAATAGAAGGAGCCCTAACATTCAAGAAAGGGACAGTTTTGCTTCAACACTAAGAATTAAATATTTTTCTTCAGAATGACTCTAGTGCTTCCCTTCCCTACTTACCAATATGTAGAGGTCTGAGTGGATGCATCATTGGTGTGCAGACTTGACAGACAGTTGGTACACTTGAAATGGAATGTGCAAGCATGTTATCTGTGGTGCATATCATCTCTGTATGACTCATTTGTGTAAGGGTAGTCTTAACACTCTACTGTCAAGCAAAGGGAAGAGATATTTTCTTTGTGTTGAATACTGTGAGCCAGTTCTACATCTGTAGCAGATGCAGAAACTTTGCAAATGTGTCTTAGGGGCGAAACAAACCAGCATTAAAAGCCAGCACAACACACTTCCCCAAGACACCCGGAAGCCAGCTTCCTGCCACCCAGCTACCCATACATGGGCCAGCTTCCAGGCATCTGGCAGTGCAGCATTAGTACGCTGTAGTAACGCCATAAAGCTGCAATGGGTGCAAAAAGGAGTAGCAATTTGCTGCTTCTTTTTGGGCCAGCAAGAGGATTGGGGCTGCAGTGTGTGGTTGCTGGCTTTCTCGGGGGAGGCTTCAAGCTGCAGCTTTGGGGTGGTCTGTTTTGCCCCTTAGTTATATTAATTGTCAGAGCAGGTTTCTGTTTTCTGACAGCTGGCACTTCAGTGACAATACAGTACTTGCTGCTGTTATAGCCAAATAGTAATCTTTGCCTAGAGTTTGCCCAAGTCTTTTACAGATTCCTGCCAGTGTCTGTATCATGGAAGTTAAATTCACAGCTTCCACTGTGATTGCTCTGTGAGGTTTCTTCTCACCCCTGGAATGTTCCACACCTTTCCCCTAAATTATTAGCTAGCTTGTTTACTTTTAAAGTCTTTCTTATGTCTAAGAAATATAAGACGAAAGATACGGTCAGTGCTTTATCCAGTCACCTCATATAAAGTAAACCAGTCTCCATTTTTCATTACTGTGGCCAATGAAAGCAAAAGGGCTCATATGAATGAAAAGCAGTAGAAGTATTTTTCTTTTCTTTTTTTTCATTTTATTCCATGGCCAATACTTGCTTCCCTTGTTAATAATAAGAGCCATACTCGGATAGATAGGAGGAGCAATCCACAAGAAAAACTGGGAAGACCCAGTGTTTCTTGTGGACTGCTCCTTCTATCCAAGAATGAACATTTACAGTATGTGTCAACACATAATTCTTTGGCCTTTACTACTTTATCTTAGTTCCTTCTGTCTAGTTCCCTATGTGGCTCATCTACCAAGGAGATCACAGCTGTCTATGTCCAATAGCAAGGCCTGAAGCCAGACTGAAATTGATGTATTCCAGGAACCCCTGGAGCATGGAGGCTGCCACTCACTCCAATAGCTTGCTCCCAAAAGTAATATTGGAGGCTGGCTGATAATTCTCTAGTATAGTGGGGCACATGAATAATTTTTCCTCAATAATGACCTTGTCACAGCCTCTTTTAGACAAGATGAAAACCGGCCTTGCTATAGCAAGGTATTAACTACTTCCCTTACCCGATCTGCCAGTTCCTCTTGAGCTGCTTTCAACAGCCAGGGAGGACATGATTCCAGTATGCATATGGTGGCTTTCACCTCTCCAAGGATCCCATGCACAGCCTCAGGTTGCACAAATTGAAACATATTCAATAACAAAGGATAAGCAGGGTCAAGGTTACATCCATCAGACCTGTATCAACTACAACATCTTCGTTAAAGCAGTTCCAAGAATTTTATCCATAAAATGCTGACCAAACTCTTCACGGTTGCCTGTTGAGTTGTTTATACAGTGGGCCCTTGCTATCCATGGGGGATCCATTCTGGACCACCCACCCCCACCCCCCGCAGATAGCAAAAAACACAGGACCTCATCCTGTTGTTTCCAATGGACACGTGTAAACACCACCATTTTAAGAACCAGGCATGCCATCTGCGGAGGGTCAAATTCGTGGATGGCAAGCCCACAGATGAAGCAAGTGCACTGTATACTGTTCATGAGGGGCAGAATGTAAAAGGCCTCTGACCCCTAGACACAGCTCCTCTGGATGATTCCGTGGAGGTAGTGGTTGGCAATGAAGGATTTCTTAGCTGGCATTATTGTCACAGCATAGACTTTTCAATGAGTTCTAGCCTATGTTCAGTCCGATTCTGAGTATTCCATCATTATCACTCTAGTCTCCATCGCACTCCATCACCACGCTCCCTAGTCAACCAGGGCGCTCACTTGGCTCCTCTCTGGAGGAGATGCTTAGGAGCAGTTGTATCTACTGCCCTAGCCATTTCATTCATAAGATCAGCCAAGGTTTCAACAGGTTCCTGATGATTCCCAGGAGTCATCAGGAATTCATCTGAATCCATAAGCTTCCTGAGCCATAACATATTAATCAGCTCCCCACCCCTGAAGGGGTCTGATATCTAGTTAGTCTAAAACCCACCAAGTAGTGTTCTGAACTTCACAATGGAACTGTGGACAGTTCCTTCACATGCAGATCACCATCATCTAACCTTGTGCAGAAAATAATCCAGAGCGTGTCCAACAGCATGGGTGGCACCGGATACAACTTGGGAGAGACCCATAGTTGTCATGGAGGACATGAAATCCTGAGCTGCTCCAGACGGAGCAGTTTCCTCATGGATGTTGAAGTCCCCCCAATACATAGCCATGGGAACTCTAGCACCATCAAAAAGACAGACTTTTGAGCAGCAGGATGAGCAGTCCACCAACAAAATATTCTTTCCCAGCCTCTTTAAGTACACATATTCAAATCCACCATTGTGAGACTAGGCATCTGGTGAGGGAGATGGAATCCCAATAGACTACTGCAACTCCACCTCCCCATTTCCCAGGCTTCACCTGCTGCTCCACTGAAAACCCAGGTGGAAAACGTTGGAAGAGGTCAAACACACACCATTTTACCCAGCCAGGTCTTTTTAATACAAGCTAATTAACAACTTCAAGATCATGTCCTGGATCAAGAACAATTTTTAATCATAATCTCCCTGGAAAACTAACTGCGAGTTTGTTACAATTAACACTTGATTTTAAAAATATATTACTGAACTGTTGCATTCATTAGTAGTATTTTTGTCTTGCACTAACTTGAGATGCATGCAACCCAGCATTTTTTATTTTTTAAAAAATTTTTTACTATCTCTTTGGGTCAGATTGATAACTCATTTAAAGCAGTGGATTGATAGAATATTCATTTAGTTTTATTCTATCTGATAATAACCAGTACAATCAGTTTTGCAAAATGTTCTTAAAATTGTATTGTATGTGATATATAAGCCCCAACTTTTAGGGCCAAAGTTCATATGGAAATGGATTTGTATTCCAAGATACCCTAAGAATGTCTCATAATTCCTGCTTTGTGCAATTGAGAAAGAAAAGCAGCATTGTCTAAATGTGCTGGAGGACTTCCCCCATTCCTTTCTGCTTGCTCATTTTCTTCCTTCTCTTGCAAGTGGAAAAAGACAAGTGTTGAAAAAGAATTAAACTCACTTTCTGTAGCTTGACAGAATACCATATTTTCACAAAGTGTTCTCCCTGTAATTCTTGAAAAGCATACTGTAAAGTAAAACTCAGTCATAAAATGACCCCAGAACAACCAGTTTATTTAGCAATACACACACACTATATGGCCAGTTGCTTTGTAGCAAAGTAATCACCAAGTAGTACATACACAGCACCTGATGGACAAGCAGCAGTTGTTGCTGACAGTCTTTCAAACAGAATCATTGTACCATCATAGCATGTTATTCTTTTGCAGTGTATTTTCAGTGACTAGAATTGCATTGGCATCCTT